AATACCTGGCGTTCAAAGTGGTTACGTATTTGTAGTTGCATCAATTTCTTTTAATTTGTACAATAAACTCTCGTAAGCCTCCCCCTTTTTATCCCTGTCACTACTCTGATACGCCAAATGCATGGGAAACTTTCGTATAATGCAATAAATTGTGTGAGAAACTCCTGAGAACATCGCCTGAAGAATTGAAACTGAGGAACAAAATGAATCGGAAAACGGTGCTACCGTCTATATGCGCCGACTTGTCCGCACAGTTCATGGATATGTATGCTCTTTCGCTAAGTTATTGTTGCATCTGTACTGTCTTCGCGACGGACTCAAAACTGCGCACTTCTCCAATCTACACGCAATATTTTAGCTGCAACTTGTTGAACACTGCAGACAAAAGGATGTGCAAAACGTAGCGTCTGGACCAGCCTTTAAGTTCATCCTGAGCAGAGGAATTCTTCGACTTAGCTTATCTGTTTATTCAAATTCCACTCAAATGTTTAAGTGTAAATTCGAATACAGTGCTAGTATAGTAGCCGATAATAAATAATGTGAAAATTTGGCGAGTCTGTGACCATCGATCGATATGACAGATGTTAGTTACTACTATTTTTGAAATGAAATGTGCGCTCATTTTGTAGCATTCATATCTGACTTAAACTGTGATTCGTAGAAATATATGAGGTAATTAAGATATATTTTTGTACAGTGTTTCTAAACCGTAGATTTCAATAAAAGGTGGAAGGATGACACCTATATTATTAAGGCATGCCTCAACCGTTCACGAAAAAAGTTTTATAATGTTTCTTGCAATCATGCAGGCTCGTAAAATTTTCCATGTGCTGTTTAGATTCTAGTTTTTCTTTTCTCTTTGTTGAAGTTTTTACATTTTTTGTTTATTGGGTAAATGCCGCTACCGATAGTACGAGTTATCATGGTTTTGATGCGACGATTCACGAATTTGGGGTAACGAAGATGTAATGTTATTGAACATATTACCGTATTAGGGTGCATCTGCGAATCACTACTAACAGTAGCGGACTTTAGATGATGTATGTTTCAGGTCCCAAAATTTTGTTCCGCGGGAACAACCCATGAAGGGTTCAACGAGTGTCGAAATATCTAGCCTCTTAGCCTAATAATTATTCATACCATTAATAAAATCACATATATCGGCTTGAGTTTTCACTATCGATTCGACCAACTCGGTGACCTTTTTCAAAGTACAGATCAAAAAGGTGGCAGAGACAGTATCTTTTATATTTATCTTTCCAGATGGCAGTTGGCAGTTCATTTGTTTTTGTCATGACGCGTGTGATACATCAAAACAACTTGTTCGATTGTCGCTTTGGAGAGGCTAGATGTCGATATACAGGGTGGGCCATGAATTAGTTAACATTTGAAAAAAAACATCTGACATATTTTAAAAACTGTTTATTCACAAGAAAGCTAATTAGTTGCAATTCATTTCTTGAAAATTATATCATCTAAATGACCACCGTTACGATTTTTGCACTCTTCTAAACGTGTACCGAAGTTTTCGAATACTCGTCGGCATAAAGACTGCGAGATCGCCGACTTCTCTTCGTTGATGTTTTCTTTTAGTTGACGGAGTGTGCTTGGAATATTGATGTAGACACGACTCTTTAAATAACCCCATAAAAAAGTCTGGTGGAGATAGATCTACACTTGGGTGGCCATGGCATGTCGGCTCGTCTGGAAATTTTTTTTTACGGAAACATTTCTTTGACTACCGGCGAAATGAGCTTTTACGGAAACATTTCTTTGACCACCGGCAGGGACTCGTTGGATGTGTGACACGTGGCTCCATCTTGTTGAAACCATGTGTTACGATTATAGCCAGCAAATTCCTGTAGCATCAGTGCCAAGAACTCCCGTAACATTTAAACATACTCAGCAGAATTAATAGTAACTGAATGGCCGCGAGAATCTTCAAAGAAGTGGGGGCCAATGATTCCTTTTGCTGAAATTGCAGCCCAAACAGTTACTTTAGGAAAGTAAAGTGGCTTCTCGTGTTTAGCTTTGGGATTTTTGCTGCTCCAGTACCTGCAATTCTGTTTATTCACATGTCCGTTGAGATGGAAATGGGCTTTGTCAGAAAATAATAGATTGTGAAAATTACTGAATTGAGCTAACATCGTTTCGTACCACTTGCGTAAATTTAAATCATTAGGTTTTAGTTCCTGCACTATCTGGATCTTATATGGATGTAATTTCAAATCTAATTTCAAAATACGGCGTAATGATGTGCGGGATAACCTTAATTCAACCGAACGTTTGCGCGTCGATAAATCTGGATCACGTTGAACAGAAGCGGAAACTTGCTGCACGTTCTCTTCGCTCCGAGCAGTCCATGGGCCGCCGGTTTGCTTCATATTCAGTGTAGATCCCGTCTCTTCGAACACCCATTTCTTTATCAAAGGAGCACTCGGACACTGACTTAAGTCGTGTAAATTATATTCAACGCGAAATAAGCGCCTCACAGTAATGAGCGAACTGTTGTTTAAATAAAATTGTTTCACACAGTAAGCGCGTTGCGGCCCCCCGTGAGGCGATCCATTGCGACTGAATTTCCGAGAAACGAGCTAGCGACTAGCCCCCTTCCAGCGCTTCGCGCGGCATCTGTTTGCGTGGTGTATTAGATTTAAATGTTAACGAATTCTTAGCCCACCCTGTATAATAATAATAATTGCACTGACGTGCTTCGCGCTATCTCGGCATGATGCTGGACCATTCAGGCTGTTGTTGCAACACTCTGTATAATAGCGTTAAACACAAATGAACTGTCACCTGGAAGACAGATAAATACCGAGTTATCCGAAACGTTAGTTAAAACTGTAGCCTACATATTATATGGTTTTATTTAACGACTAGAAAATATGGAGAATTATCTAAACTGTTTCGATTTCACTAATGATAGCACATGAATGTTATTAAACTACCATAGTTATTTTATTATTTCATAACCTGTTTTTTGAACTGTGGGAAGTTAATCGAGACGCGTTATACAGGGTGACTTCGAAGTTGAGTCATTTATTTTAACAGTGAGTAGATCTGATCAAAAGAAATGTTTTTTTCCTTTACCATTTTTCTGGTAAAATTAAAGTAACAAAGTTATAGCCCTTTGGAAGTTTGAGTACCGCCCTGTCTCAATAATAATATGTTCGTGTTTGGCGACAACGGATATAATCCGCCTGACCGGTTCATCGCATCGGAAACAAAAAAGCGAAAGAATTTGAAACGTTTATCACGATGATTTTCGTCAGTCGATAACGCGTTAGTGAATAGTAGTGTTTGTTGCGTGGCTCAAACGAAATCAAAAATGGCACATGTTTACGAAAATGCTGAACTTGTGGACATGATTCTTATTTACGGGGGGACAGTCTTTACAAAATGCTCCCGGATGCATCACGGATTTATGCGAATCGGTTTCCCAATCGAGTGCAACCAACCCCTCGTGCCTTTGTTAATGTAGTACAAAGGGCTCGTGAATCAGGTGACTTAAGACCTCACAGGTCACGGCATGCTGCTCCAAGACCGCACGATCAAATACAGGTCCGCACTGAAATACTTGTCGGGACGATACTTTATTAAACAAGGTAACATTTTTTTTTATTTTTACACACATATTTTGGTTTATCTTCCTTCTACAATCATTATCTGAAAATTAATGACTCAACTTCAAAGTCACCCTGTATAGTCGAAATCACGAAAGATGACGATTACGTAATCATTTTGGTCTGTAGTAAAGACAAACGACAGCGATTTGTGAATATATCTAATGAAGTTTCTGATATGTTACACAGAGACAAACAGAATTTTATTGTCTAAACAAACTGTATTGCTAATTTGCATGTATCCGACAAAGATAGACGATGTTTTCATGTTGCATGATCGATCATATTTGAAAGATGAATAGTTAAGTTATGTGAAAGCAGGTTATGTTGTTTTCGAATAATACTTTGGTCTTTGGTGTTCCTGTCTCAAGGTATTCTACCCATAACTGTTTTTTCAAAACAAAAACTCAGCACTAAAATTATTATTCAGGTATCACTCAAAACCATGAAATAAAATGAAAATAAAAATAATCTGTGAAATAACCCAACTTTGCAAAATCATAATATAAATTTGTTGTCATTATGTTTCTGACTCGTGATTTTATCATCGACGTACGTCCATTGATTACTTTAGTACAATTTATGGTCATCTTTCGTGATTTTGACTATACCATTGTCTCTATTAACCTTATCACTTCATCCATTTGTAAACAACGATTTGTTCTCGACAAAGCTGTCTGCTTATAACCGGGAAAGCTACCTCCTGGTAGATTATTTTCATTCTCATTCTTATTGCCGCCAACAGATGCCGTGAAAATAGATTATGTGATTTAGAAGAGAAAAAAATCGAGTAACTTATTGATACACCACCAAGTCTTCTTTGCAATTATGTTTTGCGATACGGTGAATATTTTTACTGCAATAAAGTAGCCAGCAATGCACGACAATAATTTTAGCATGGCTCGGCTATTTTGTTTGACATTTCTGGCCTATTTTCATATATTGCTATCAGATTACTGAACTATCGCAATCCTACTTAATTTCATCAGTCATTCTTGTCTGACTTTGTAGCTCTTCCAATGAGACATTCTAAAACATGTATGTCTGTACATTGCAGACAATATTGCCAAGATATAGTCGAGATATAGCTGATACAACCGTGCCATATAGGCGGACCATATGGACTGGGCTGGCTGGGCTATATTTGCCACGGTTATAAACAAATACTGCTACAAAATATTGCCGCTCCATCATCTCATGATATTTATTTTTTAGAATTGAAGTTTTGTGTTGACTAATAAATAATTATATAATTTATCTTTCTTTTAATCAACCTCTTTACCCTCATTTTGTGCTGAAAATAATATTTTCAATATTATTGAAATTTGCAGCAAAGATATGGTGATTTGCTAAAATGTAAAGTTTTCTATGTCTCGTATATCAATTAAATTTTATTAACACTATATAAAAACTATACAAATGCTAAAAGTAAGGGACACCAACAAGAGTGTCTCACAAAAATATATGGAGAAATACATTTTTCTTTATAGATTCCTGAAGTAAATTCAAACGTTATTTTCAAATTTCTTTTTCAAATTATCCATTATTGCTCTTCTTTGATACATCACCTCATGTCTGCAAAACGATGACAGTAAAGTTGGACACTGGTATCTAATATATTCTTCACATGTAGCACCTTTTGTTAAGTTTCCTGGTCCAAATTTGAACTCGCTTTCCGTGTATACTGAAAATGGTCCAGTTGCAGATCTAATTTCGACCAATATATGTGATATTACTCAACTCAAGCATCATAGTAAGTGTGAATGGCAACACTGGCAAGGTGTTCCCTACCTAGGTTAGACTCGAAGTGTGATCGACCTCCCGCAAAAGCACGCACCGCCGGATGAAGGGATTACTGAACCAGTGTTGCCAAAATATGCATATTAACTTACGACAATATAATCCAAAAAATAAGCATGTTCGATGTGTTGAATAAATATAGAACATGTCTTTTGTTGGAGCTTTCACATCAAAATGAGCTAAAGCATAGTTTGGTAAGTGGGGCCAATGAGAAAGCTTTTCCGAGTATTCAACAGTGTATTTCCAGTGCTTATAGTTTCCACTTTCCTCTATTACATTGAAATCGATTCTAAAATGAAATAAAAGAACAACCATGGAGCCTATTCAATTCAAATCAATTTATTTTCCAAAGACAGACAATACTGTATAGGAACTGTCAGTACAATAAGTCCTAAGACTAAAAAATTAAGGTAATTAACAAGGTTTAGCTGTTAAAACCTACAAAAACTCTGACAGACTGTTAAAACTGTTCTCCAGCAGATAGCTTTTCAATTCTTTCTTAAAGGATTTCTTACTGGTTTTTACGTTTATATTATCGGGCATACGATTGAAAATTTTTGGTCCCATTACAGAGGGCGAACTTGTAGTTGTATTACATCTGGCAAATGGAACTAGCAATGAATTTCTTTGTCTTGTAGGTATTTATATCGTGTGTACTGCCTACTGTTTTTAAAGTCAAACACGTATAAACATAACTGTAAAATATATAGGCACGTAAGAGGTAAAATTTTTAAAGTTTGAAAACTGCTTAAACATGACTCATTGTTAGGGATATCAACAATACTTCTAACAATCTTCTTCTGCGCAACGAAAACATTCAAAGCATGGGTAGAACTACCCCATAAGCCAATTTCATAACGGAGTCGAGATTCGACCTGGGCGTAATAAACTGATATTATTTGAGGTGAATTTAATACTATGCATAGGTTTCTGAACATGAAAATAAGCGAATTTAATTGTGCAGACTCAAAAATCTGACTGAATTGCACTGGTTCGTTTGAAGTGTTGTACTGCCTACCGTGATGTGTATATCACTAATATGATTCTGAGTGTTATGGAATCGTAGACATTTTGTTTTCTCTAAATTCATGTAAAGGCCTAAATCATATAGGACAGATATTACATCAAGAACGGTAGTATTACAGCGTTGAGACAAACTGTTATCAAAATCACTTATAGTTAATGAGATGTCATCAGCATACATAACGTGGTTCTGCCCTAGGTCACTTATTTTATTTGTGTACAATAAAAACAGAATAGGTCCTAAAATTAACCCCTGAGGAAATCCCATAAATATTTTTTATCTTACTCCATCAACCGACTTTGTTCCAAGATGTTGGATAGAAACATGTTGCTGTCATTCAGAAAGAAAAGATCCAATCCGTTTCAGCGGTTTGCCTCTTATGCCGTATTCTTCTGATGTATTGGGTTGTCGGAAAAGTCATGACGCTTTTTTTTGTTTATTTTAAGGCCATTTTATTCATATACAGCACAAACTTCAATCAATAATGTATTGCCCATTTTGATCGATGACCTTTCGCCATCTTTCAGGCAGCTTCATAATTCCTCGCTCGTAGAAGGATTTGTCTTTACCGGCAAAAAATTGAACAAGGTGCTGATGTACAGCTTCATCTGAAGTAAAGCGTATTTCTCGCAAGGAATTTTGAATCGACCGAAACAAATGAAAATCAGATGGGGCAAGATCAGGCGAGTATGCTGGATGTGGTAACACATCCCATCCTAACTCCAATAACTTTTGACGAGTGAGCAAAATTGTGTGCGGTCTCGCGTTGTCATGGTGGAACACAACTCCTTTGCGATTAATGAGCTCCGGACGTTTTTGCATGATGGATTGTTGCAAACTGTCCAATTGCCGACAATACACAGTTGTATCGATGGTTTGGTTCTTTGGCAGGAGTTCGAAAAACACGATCCCTTTAAAATCCCACCAAACAGAGAGCATCACCTTTTCCTGATGACTCTCTGCTTTCGCGATCGTGTTACGCGTATCTACACTTCGGGACCAAGACCGTTTGCGAACCACATTGTTGTAAACAATCCACTTTTCATCTCCCGTTATCAAGCGCTATAAGAAAGGATCGTTTTCCTCACGTTTAAGGAGCATATCGCAGATGTCTACACGCGCCGTCAAATGAACCTCTCTCAGTTCGTGTGGTACATCAGCACCTTGTTCAATTTTTTGCCGGTAAAGACAAATCCTTCTACGAGCGAGGAATTATGAAGCTGCCTGAAAGATGGCGAAAGGTCATCGATCAAAATGGGCAATACATTATTGATTGAAGTTTGTGCTGTATATGAATAAAATGGCCTTAAAATAAACAAAAAAAAGCGTCATGACTTTTCCGACAACCCAATAGATAATAATATTGAATGATTGACCCAATCAAATGCCCTGCTCATGTCAATAAATACAGTCACAGGGCATTCGACCATCTCAATACTTTCCAGGGTGTTAATGTAATATTCATTTAGCGCTGTGATGGTAGATTTTCCTAAGCTAAAACGATGCTGATGATCTTACATTTGTTAAGAAAATTATTAAATCTGTCCAGAAATGCGTATTCGAATAATTTTGAGAAGGTTTCAGGGAATGCTGCTGGTCTATAGTTTTCTATTGCATGGGGATCGCCTTTTTTGAATACCTGTTTTTAGCTTTTTTGGGAATACACCTTGTGTAAAAGACATGTTAACTAAATACGTTAGCGGTATTGATATTAAATGAATAACATGTTTTAACACAAATGGGGGAATTTCATCAAACTCTGCTGTTTTTTTATCCTTTAATTTAGTATTCAGTAAATCCATTAGTTCGTTCTCGCTAAATGGAAATAGGAACATCGTATGTGTATTGGTATGTCGGCTGACTGCCGGTGTGACTCCTCAATGATTTAGCAGATTTGGCGTGATTAGCAAGTTGTCCTGCAGATTCAATAAAAAATTTGTTGAACTCGGATACAATTGCACTAGATTCACAGATTTTTTCCCCATCCAGTTTTAGCGAGATATCATTTTTCTTTTATTTATTTGTTAATTCAGATACCACATTCTATAAGCCACGAGTTCTATTGACCAAATAAAACATTTTTCCTTGGTAATAATCTTTTTTTACAGTGGAAATTAGGTTAAGGTGTTTACGTCTGGCGTTTAAATAATATGGCAATAGGCTGGGAAATATATTTTTGAGAAGGTAAAGGTCTGTCAAATTTTGTACACTTCTATTTACCCGTGATTTGTCTTTATTATGTTTATGGCAACTGTGTTTAGGAACATTTGTGTTGAAGTGATGTAAAAATGTATCATAGAAGTAACAGAATGCGTTTTCAAAATTAGTGAATGTATACAGATTTGACCAATCCCCAGCTATCAGATCATCCCGTAATTTGATAAAATTTGCCTCATTGAAGCATCTTCGAGTTATTGTTTTTTGCATTATGGCTCTGATTAGAGAAGATATCCAATTCCAAATAAATGCTTCTGTGGTCCGATATTTGATTATCTTAAGACAGTACACAAACCTTTTTTGTCAAAGTTAATGTAAATATGATCAATCATTGTAGAAGTATCTATTACTGGTCACCCATGTAGGCCAATGTACAATTTGTTTACAGTTGTACCTCGACATCAACTGAGCTAATGTATTAAAATGACAGTTTTTGTAAACATCTAAATTAAAGCCTCAACATACAATAAAATTAACACAAGGCCTATATAAAACGTCAAGAACTGAACGGAGTTTCTCTATAAATACTTCCACACCCCCCCTTGGAGCTCTAACAGTTTAAAAGAATATTTGTTTTTTCTCTAGTTTTAAATTTGACTGCACATATTTGAAAATGTTGCTCAACACAGAGCAGAGAGATACCAGAGCTGCCTGAGCTGGAACGTAACAAAAGGTTGTCCCAACTTGTATTTCTCATTACTGTCAGCTGAGGGCTATTTCCCTTGACGATATATTTTTAGTTTTCATATTGCCCTGCCTCTACTTTCCTAGGTTTTCATTCGTATTCCTTTGTCCGAGGGCTTGAATATTGGTTTGATTCGCTCTTAACAAAATTTCATTTTCTCTTTATTAGATTTTATACGCAAATGTATATCTGTATTTATAAGTGCTTTTCGATAATCAGATTACCTAAATTACAAAATAGATTAAAAGAGCAAGCAATTAAAGAACAGGTATTTATATATTTATAACAAAATTGGCAGCTTTGATTTTTAATGGGCTTGACGCTCGGCCGCGTTCACAAAACGTCCGGCTGGATAGCACCACAGGAGAGCCGTAGAAATGAGCAAAAAACGACCCCAAAACTTCACGCTTGACAGGGCGCAGTGAATGACGCGAGTACCACGTGCTGCGCATGTGCAGGGCACTGAGGTTATAGTTTATACTATGACATCCCGCCGCTTGAATCAGTAGATAATATCTGCTTTTTTTTATAGGCCTGGCGAAGGCAACCTTACTGTAATCTATTCTACTATCATTTACCCCTCATAAAACGAAGTTTTATGAAAAAAGAAACCACATACCAGCAGATTCAAGCGGCCGACGGATTTCGAGAGTTCATATGGCGGATCTGTCAAAGTACAGCATATCCAGATGGGTCGAACAGAATTTTCATTTCCTCAGAACAAGCACCAGAATTGCTTCTTTTTAAAAAATCACACTTTGTTTCAAGGAGTGGGCGTGCTTTCTCTCCGCGAAACGTGATTTCCTCCAAAACATTATATTCTCAAAAAATTCCTCCGAATTTGGAAGAAAATCTCCCAACATGGAAAATCAAGTCAAAACATCACTCCACCATCATAGAACCACCACTGGTACTCCACGCGTCTTGTTTCGGGGTTGTTTTTACACACGAACAGCATTGCCGTAGTTTGTCCTTGTATATAGGTTCCATGAACATAACCTTCTTGTATTGCTAACAAGCGTCTGATGTGCAAGACATCAGAAAATACAAAATGATTCAATACTTACATGGTTGGATTCAGATATTTCATATTACTGAAGTCTGCAACGAATTCCCATACTTGATTAGGCGGAACTCTTGGAATAAACACAAAAGATCTATGTTCAAAGTATTTAGCTCTTATTAAAATGTATATAAATAAAATACCAATAAAACTTGCGATGGTTCTACGACTTTTCCACTGCATACGAGCCATTTTCGTGAATAAAATATTCCACGTCCTCGGATATAATATTTATTCAAACGAAAATAGATCCCTATAAAAGCTCATATTACATGAACAAATGAAATGTAAAATTATACGGTCTCTTCTCTCAGCGTTCTTTTTGTAACGGAAGCTGTTTATCGTACCACAAGATAAACCACGCCTACAAGGTGCCTACCGTCTCACTCTCACAGCACAGAACAACAAAATGACTTGTTTTGTTTTGATCTATCGCCCAGTGAAGGTGAAGACCACCTCCCAACCCGCAACCCATCATTCATTGTTAAAGTCACAGATTAAGCGCTCCCAACTTATTAGTTGTTGGTGATGGTTGAAACCATCGAATTTTGCGATTGATAGGACTAGAGACCTGGGTACTCTTTTCACAAAATAGTTTTAAATACATCAGAAATTGAGAATTGAGAATGGACCTTACAAAAAGGAAGACACAATGGATTTTACCGGGCTATATGTATATGAAGGCTTTCAAGAGAATATTTAACGCCAATAAGCCAATGATTCAAGGAGTACTGACATTAGCGTAGGCTTGAGACATACGACTCTTTCTTTTCTCTGAGCTCGCTCATTTCGTCATCTCTCTTTAGTGAGTCATTCGTTCGGAGTCGTTCGTTTGAACGACACGATTACCCACCGGCTTCGAAGCTGAGGAGAGTATTGTGTTGCCTATAGTAACGACTCACTGAGTCAGAGAATTATACATCGTACCAGCGCCACCTTCAACTAACTAACTTAGTTGAAGGTGGCGCTGATCGTACTATGAAAATGAAATGAATGGTTGGGTTGCCGGTGTTATTGTATTTTTTAAGTATTAATATTTTTGGTTGAAATTGAATATAACGAATGTATACTGTCTTCCGAGAAAAGAAGGGAGATTGTCGTCCGGTTTTGAGGAATTACCGAGTTCTGAATCAAAATATAATTTTTGCTGTCAAATCCCATCATTTAAACGTATAATTTAATGAGATATCTCAAAACAAAACAATTGGGTTCCCTAGATAGATGATCGACTCCGAAAGAACGACTCACTAAAGAGAGATGAACGAAATGAGCGAGCTCAGAGAAAAGAGTCGTATGTTTCAAGCCTACTGCAGACACGCTTTGCACAACTGAACGAGCCATATGTAACAAAAGAGTCGTTCAATCATCGCTCACTTAGATGAGTCGTTCATTTTGAACGACTCGTTTGCGAACGACACATGACTACGTGCTGAAATTCGGTCAGTAAGCCCCAACGCAAACAAAGAGGAGGGCGCTATGTTTTTCAACAAAACCACAACAATACGTAATATTAGATATAATTCAACAAAATAATCTTTTCATCAAAAAATGGGATGATTTTTAACCCCCCTCACGGAAATTTAAGTTTCATGATCTTTGAAGATGCGTTGCCAATGAAGGAATGAATGTTTATTCGCCATTACAATAATAATAATTTTACAATATAAACATTGATGTTATTACAGCTGTACCTCATACCAGCTACTTATTTATTTATTATATTATTTTTGACTAAAATGTGTCATCTCACCAGCACCACTGCAGCGTGCATTTGCGTGCTCCAGGCTGCTGCCGTTGCAGCGCCACTCACAGCCAGTGTTAGCAGGTCTAACGATTTTTCGGTAGATCTACCGATTTTACTCCTGGTCTATCGAACTACCTATTTTAAAGTAAAATCTACCGAAAAGTGGACTTTTCTTTCAATTGAATAATTTTTGTTGGCTATATAAGAGAAATATTTCTGATGCATAGCGATAAAAAAAATGACAAAAGTACTATTATTACTCGTACTAGACCAGATATATTTTTATTCTGTTTGCCCGACATTGGTGTGCAACATACGCTGATTCTTCTCATCTGGGGAATCACCGAAGATACTCGATGATTGGGCTACATCACCTAGGCATAGCGGCTCGTGACAAGTCCATGCCTGAATTGTACGATTTGTATGATTTTGTGTACTTAGTAATTCCGAATTCGGCCAGTATTAGTATTGCCTGTCTTGCACTAATTTTTTATTTCGCGTGCGTATGCCCAACATTATAAGGAAGACTGGGAAGAATTGCCAGATTTCCAAGGCTGGCTTAAAAAAGCAATAAAGGGTGTGTTTATGCGAAATATATGATCTGTGATAAAGATATTAATATCAACTTATAAAACACGCAAATGGGCAATTTCATAAAAAAGTGCAAACCATAGCAAAACAACCAAAACTGTTGTCATTTGCAGTTGCAGGTGCATCAAAGAAATTAGAAAAAGGTATTAAAGAAGGTAATATTAATTAACCTATTTGAGAAGATTTGAGATTATATAGATTATTTTATTATTTCCAGGAGAAATTCGTTTGAGCGCATTTTTTACCGAGCATAATTTGCCATTCCTGCTGATGGACCATTTGGCAAAGCAAAGTTAGTAGATAATATGACTGATAAAAACTTATACAAAAATGATTCGGAAGAATGATTATCCAATATAGCTTACACATTTTTTATTTTATACACTTTTTCTGTTTTTTATTAAGAATATTTTATTTTTAGTTAGCTAAAGTGAGATATAAACGGTTTATTTTTGTTTTGCCTTTCTGTTTTACAGTATATTTTAAGTTAAATAAAATTGTTTTAAGTAAATGCCTTCATTTACTCTTCGGTATTCAATCTACTGAAAAATTCCATACAATCCTACCGAAATATCGTCAACTCCACCTGGTAACATTGCTCACAGCACCATTGTCAACGTGGAACGTGCTGATATCTGAAATTGGGTCAGTAAGCCCCAATGCAAGTAAGGAGGGGGACGCTATGTTTTTCAACAAAGCCAAAACAATACGTAGTATTAGATATAATGAACTATTTCAACAAAATAATCTTTTCATCAAAAAATGCGGTAATGTTTAACCACCTCACGGAAATTTAAGCTTCTTGATCTTTGAAGATGCGTTGCCAATGAATGAATGAATGAATATTTATTCCCCATTACAATAATAATAATTTTACAATATTAACATTGATATTATTACAGCTGTACCTCATACCAGCTACTCATCCTAATTACATAATATTAATTTCTACATTATTTTAACCTTCCGGAAGTGGCGCAGTATATTATGACACCAGAGGTGGCGTCAAGCCTGTCAGACCCTGCTAAAAAAAACGCATGCGAAGCAGTTTTTAAAAAAATATATTATTGGCTATGTTTAATTACATCCTCTTTGATCAAATATTAACATTGTAACATAAAATACAAAATTCTTATAGAATTTATCCTTATAGAAAGAAAAAATAAGATAAAAAAGTGATTTCTAGAATTTGTGAAACAAAAATATAAGAACAGTGCAAACAATGTTTTTCTTGATAATACTAAATAATATATTGGTCATAAAACGAGTTTTAATCATTACGTAATGATTCTAAACAAATAGAACACCAAGCTCTTAGGTGTGAGAGGCAAACAAATTTTTTACATTTTTCGCAGTAAAATCTAGTTTTAGAATCTTTTACACAGAAAAAACATCTTTTTCTGGTCCCAGGGGCAATGTCCATTAATGGCTGAGCATCCATAGGTGTTCCTGAATAAATCTGCCTCCTCTCTCTCACTCCTCTTGGTACATTTGTTTCACATGATCGCCGTACTAAATGTGGTTTTGTTAGTTCTAGTGCAAGGTTCCTTAGGTATAGTCTTCTTATAACAGAATACTGTTTATTATTTACGACATAAATAAGTTGCGAGTTAACGCCTGCTATATTTAGTAAGGCATAGAAAATAACCATTGGCCATCTACGAGTATTTCTCGCTACGTTATATGTGGCACCAAGCTTGTCCAAATTGTCAACGCCTCCCTTGGTGTGGTTATAGTACGTTATGATTTCAGGTTTGCTTTTTTCTTTTGTTGACTTATCTATTGCATCATCATGGTGCAAAGATGAAATCAAAATTACATTTTTATACTTTTTGGGGACATAAGACACAATTGTCA